AAGAGCCATGGGTGGCATTTGGTACTGTGACATATGAGCCAGCCTCACTGTACATGTTCCTTTCTCCACCACAAAATGAATCAAGACAAAAATATGGGCCCTGCTAGGCATGAATGGTGATTGAAAACAAATGCCTTTTTTAAAAAAGAATTCATATGCCGAGCTAAGTACAGTATATTGGCTTCTCAATATACGTTGGCAAGACACACTGCCCTTTCCACCATGATGATGATACAAAAAAATACCTGTTCTGCATTTCCCTCCTGAAGCCATATTTCATGTAAAAAGAAATAAAAATGAACCAATCTTGAATATGACACCCTCTGTAATATGGACTGTGTGGGTGGGGAATACCAATTTATATACTGACCTTTTGACTGTTATTTCAGCTTTCCCTGCCAGATACTGTCCCTATATGGTAAATTAGAATAGTTAAGCTGCAATGCTTTACACACTTGCCTGGGTGTAAAGTCAGTGGAACTTGCTTCGGAAAGACATTATGGGATGGTGCTCTTAAGACAAATGCTTGCAGTTGGTTCTGTTGTAGATCATGAAATCACAGTCAAATAACCAAGCAGCCTTCAGCTATTGTGTTCACTTTTTGCATTTGGTGAATCCCCATTGGCATGGATACAGTCTACTCTATGTTTGTCTGCCACAGCTGAGGGATAGGAGAATTTGTCGCATTTGGATCGGATTGCTTCAAAGATAGACTTTATGAGGCTATAACACTCAAGTTAACTGAAATAGCTGAGTTAACTTATGATCAGAAGCAATGTTTATCTTTTGCAATTTGACCTCCATTCCTCAAGGGGCATAGTCTCCTGCTGAGACTCGGCAAGCCTTTCTCCCCAGTGCATATGTAATTCCCTTTTGCCCAATACTAAGTAATAATATTATACTTATTATTATGCATAATAAGTGATTGATAGCAAAGATTTCATGGCACTTACTCAAATTATCCACACAGCAGTTACTATTTTGAAGATAATGGGAAAATGTTGAACCATACTTAAGGAAAATATTAGAGCAAGCTTTTTATTCAGGGAATTGTGCACTGGCAGCTTTGTTAAAAACCTGTCAATGTACGTAAGTGCTTGTGACTGAATGTAAATAGATTTCATGACAGTTTTAAGTGATGACTGAATGGATAGGGCTGTGGCTCAGTGGTAGAGTATCTGCCCAGCATCTTTAGGACTGGCTGAGACCCCTGTCCAAAATCCTGGAGAGCTGCTGCAAATCAATAGAGACAATGCTAAGTAAGGTGGACCAATGGTCTGGCTCGGTATAAGGCAGCTTTCTATATTTCTGAAGGGCTCCCATCTGATGGCTGCTTTTAAGCTTCCCCTTTGCAGCTGCCTCCTGTTAAGTTATTCATATACAGCTTTTCACTATGCAGCCTAGGAAATGTTCTGCATGCCACTTACGATATGGAGGTAGAGGGTAGGGATACATCCAATTCTGACTGGGCTGTGAACCAGAATGTTTCTGGTCTGGATGTCACCCATGCTGTGAACTCACTAGTGGCATTAAGAAAGCCGTTCCTTGCCAGCACCACCACATCTACAGTACAGTTAATAACGTAATTCATCTGGAGGTCCGCTCTTAACCTGAAACTGTTCTTAACCTGAGGTACCACTTTAGCTAATGGGGCCTCCCACTGCCACTGCACCACCGCCACACAATTTCTGTTCTCATCCTGAAGCAAAGTTCTTAACCTGAGGTAATATTTCTGGGTTAGCAGAGTCTGTAACCTCAAGCGTCTGTAACCTGAGATACCACTGTATAGGGATAAAATTAACCTACTAGTTTACATTACCACAACAATCCTTACAATCTCTGTTGAAACTGGAGAGGGGTGAATTCTCCCATGCTCACGTTGGTTTCTCTTGGGACTTAGATTATTTCTCCTGGGGGAGGGGATAAATGGCATTTTCTAAGCCAATCTGAAGACTGCTCTGTACTGAACGGTTGTGACTTTGTACTGTTATTTAACATTATTATAAAAACCGAAATAGACACTTAAAAAAAAAGAAAATGTTTGCCCCACCCAAGCCCCAAGAACACACTTCCCGATTCCCCTGACTTCCCTGGCAAGTGGAGGTGGCAGCAGGATCTGCAACAGCAGGTGTGGGAGGAGAAGAGGGTTTCCCGCCTCCCCCCCCCATTTGTCACTTTCATGCACTGACAGTAGTTCTCTCAAGCACCATCAGTCTCTGCTCTCAACTGTCTTCAGTAACCATAGAGGGAAAGAGATGGGGGAACAGGGCCTCTCCACCAACTCAGGAACTTTTGGCTCCTGCTCATAACAAAACCTTTTCATCCCAGCTAGTGACTGCAAGAACTAAGAACTAGTACCCAAGGGTTTTTTTTCCTTCTCCCCTCCTCCTCCTCCCAATCTCTTTTCCTTTTGTGTCATGCATTTCAGCGTGTAAGCCTGGGGGCAGGACTTATCTTGCGCTACTCACACCTGCAAGCTGCCCAAGGCGCCCTTTTTGACTGCAGAGCAGGATAAAAATGAGTACGCTGAAAATGAAATGAATACACTGAAAAATGGAAGTGGAAATAGTTTTCGTTCAGCCCAGCAAGTGGCAGAGTAATCACTTTATACAAGGCCATAGAACCTGTGACTTTCCGGGTGTTATTGGACTCTAACTCCCATCAGCCTCTGCCGGCATGGGAGCTGTAGTCTAGGAATATCTGGAGCTGCCCAGGTCATTCAGGCCTGCATTTAGAACACACTATGTGGTAGCTTTAAGGGCATGGGGACAGGGCAGCATATGGTCTCCGGTCACTGGGTAAGTCCAGCATGACCATTGTTGCAACCACTTTCCCCACCTGCCACACCTTGTCTCCTGAGTGTTTTTAAGAGGGTGGTCATACTGGACTGAACACAAGGTCAGATGCTATAATAAACTATTACCACTCTGCAGTTACAGTTGCCAAGGGGCAAGTTTTTAAAGGAGCTAATATAACACCATCTCTCTTCTGTTTTCTGCCCAGTGAGGCTTATTTGGTTGCAGAGTTCAAAACAGAGCTGCTCTGCTGTTGTTTTTTTAAAAGGAAAGCAGGTCATGAAAAATGTGCAAGTCAATAAGCAAGATGTCTGCAGCACTTTCCATACCAGGGCAACCTTCCATCCCCTAACGGCTATTTTAATCTCCTAACTATCCAAAGGGAGGATTTAATTTGCATACAAATAGGATGTTTAGGAACCGAACCAATCTAATGTTAAAATGCTAATTAAAGTGAGTGCATTTGCCGCTTAAGAAATAAAAATTTAAAACTCTCCCGCTTCATTTAGGCAGCGTAGATTGTAGTGTTTTGATGTTATTGACACTACAGTCCTGCATGGGCTTATGCAGACATATCTGTGCAGATACATAGATATGCATAAGCAGGTGGTATACATATCACATGCACACTAAACAGAATGACTACTCAAGAGTTGTGTGCATGCACATTGGAGCCTCATACACTAGCCAAAAGAACATTAAATTGGAGTGAACCTCTTTATAGTTGTTGCTAAAAGCCTGAGCTGGACTGAAATACAAAATGACTGGTGTAAATGGGTATCTCTATTTAAATTCTGAGTTGTCTTTTGGCATAGAATTCAAGGCAGCATCAGGACCGCTGGACAGCTCCTACAGACAGACCATGCCAAGAACTGAGGAAGCAAAGACTCTCGTGGACTCTTGTCCAGAACCAGGGCTGAGAAAGCCCTGGACAAGATGCTTTCCTGTGGACCTCTCAGGAAGCCCACCCACTCATGCAAGGATTGATAGGGAACAGGGAGGAAAACTACTGTTTTCTTTCTCTTAGGAAAAGGTGGAGATATTCCTGCTGCAACCCACCATGTGAAGATGCAACTCACCAGTTTTCTTTTTGGGTACTCTGAACAAGCACTACAAGGGATGTTGTAGGAAGGAATAATGCCAAGTTGCTCAAGGCGCCAAAACTTGTACCACTTATAATCATTATTTACAAAAGTACCCCTCCCACAGATGAGCAACAGTGTACACTTGTCTCACCAAATTCCTATTTGGGTTTGAATGAAATTTCCCAACTGCTGAAGAGAGTGGGGGGAGGGAAGACCCTGGATTAGTCCCCCGAGATTTGTCAGGAAAAAAATGGATTAAAAATTGGATCACCAGCTTAAGATGTTAGAAGGTGGACAAAACACCCATAAGAAGATTAAACATAACAGAATTTTCCCTAAAATGAAATGTAGGACTTAATGTCTTACCACCACCATCCCATGCAGCCTACCAACCACCAGGATGTGGTTTTTGCATACCCATTTTCTTTAACACGCACTGGGCTGATGTCTTATGCTCCATGTTTCTGGAGGTATCCTTCACAAAGAATTGCATCTTACCCTATAAGCATATAGGTATATGCTCCTACACTTTCTCAGTCCACTTCATGCATCTGATGAAATAGGCCATTGCCACAATCAACAGCTCAGTCTATATCACAGACTCTATAAGAAGCTGTGGTCATTGTTATCCCTAGCACCATAGAATTGGAAGGGACCCCAAGGGCCATCTAGTCCAACCCCTTGCAATGCAGGAAATAAACATACTGTGCAATAAAAATGCTGCTCCATTATTTGCAATGGAAAGACGACCTATCCTTACCTTTAGCTATACATGCGGTTGAAAACCTGGCACAAATGGAAAATAGAGAGAGGCTGGTGTAAACACATACCAATGGCATCCTCAAAACCCCATCATTGTTAAGCTGTCAGTAGGGCCAGAAATCTTCCCTGCACCTCATACAAAAAAAGGTCTGCCCAATTCCCCAGCATCTCAAACTATAGGCCACACATGTGAGTAAACTTGTTAGCAGGGTCTAATTTGAGCAGATGCTAAAGAGAATTTATATCCCTTGCCTTCCTAAGCAGCGAGTTCACCTCACTGAAAAACAGATAATTAAATCTTACAGTCATTTGCGTCAAGGGCAACAGTTTCTGAGAAGATTCGTTTAAATGGGCTTACCTTACCACTGAGAAGGCAGGACCCCAGACTATCAACTGGAAAATACAAAAGAAGGGACATATCAAGGGTAGGGAGGTTCTGGATGAAGGACTGAATAGCAGAGGAAGACGATAATCTCTGTCACAATACAAAATCCAAGGTGTAGTGTGTGCACGGTTAATGATTTCCCTGGCGCTCAGCTCAGAGCTGACAAGCTGGATACGAATTGACGCTTCAGAGCCATACTTATATAATACGAGGCTCTCAATACAAAAAAAGGAGGTGGGGGCAGAAGTTGGCTTTGTCTAGCTGGTCTGTTTCAAAAGGCCACACAAACACACACACAGCCAAACAACAGTCTCCGGAGCTTCCTCTACCTTGACAGCTGGGGGACGAGGGGGGGGGGAATGCTGCTTTGTGTACAAAGAGAGATGCAGTTAATGCCATGGAAACAACCCCATCAAAGAGATTTAAGGAGTCAGACCGTTGCAGACTGTTGAAGGGGGGTGGGGACAAGATGTTTGTGGCAGAGAGAGAGGTTTGAGCAGCAGCTTATTAAGCTGAAATATAATCGAGAGAGCTGTGCACAGCTAAAAGGGCAGGCCTTCTGGACTCCAGCTGCTGCTTGGAGTCTTGCAGATGGGCTTTGCTTCCTCGTGACACTGAGGCAGAGCTAAATGTGTTGCAAGGTGCTCCTGGTCGCACAAAAAGGGGTGCGGCAATCACCACAGCTAGCCCTTGTAAAACAGGCCGTGGGCAAAAATCTATGGATTTCTGAATATTCAGATAAAAATGACAGATAAATTTAAGCAGCTGTGGTGTAAAGGCAAAGCACACAGCTGTAAGGATTTTTTTTTTTACAGGCATCTGTTTCCATGGGAACAAGAGCGGAAAGGTTCTTTGGACTTGTAAATTAAACATGGCTTGAACGCTGCATGCTGCATATTCCTTTCCCCACAGAATATGCTGCATTTGATGGTACAGCTGGCTTCTGGTGTAGAATGTGTGCCATTAACAGAGAATGTCCCTTTCTCCTCCCAGTTGCCACTATGTTAAACGTACACACATGTATCTGCCACTTCTGTCAAAAGCAGTTAGCTTACCACACCTTGCAGGATTGTTGTAAGGACTGTTGAATAATATATGTGACATGATGTAAACATGTGAAATGCACTATATGAAAGCTAATTATAACCATCTTGTGGGCAGCTCTATATTTTAAGTGAAACAAGACAGATTGCATTACATTTCCACCCCAAGCATCCTCTGAGGAGCTCAGGCTGGCCTACCCCACAGGGCTGCTGTGAGGCAGGTTATGTTGAATAAATGGGATGGAAATGAAGCAAAGGAATGCAATATGTCTTGTTTTGCTGTCTCACAACAATCCTGTGAGGTACACTAGGCTGGTCCAAGTTCACCAGTGAGCTTCAAAGCTGGGTGAGGAGTTGAACATGTGTCTCCGCAATTCTAGTCCATCACTCTTAATAGCTACACCACATGAGCTTTCTCATTCTGGAGCCATGCATCTGAAATGAGACAGGATCTGTGAATGCTGCTGTGCTTCAGGACGGAAGTGGTGCAGAACGTGGTACTAGAGGCAGAAAGATGTTTCAGGTCATGATCAAAAAGTTCCACCCCTGCTGCTTGTAAACGTCTTAAGATGGAATGTAGGACAGTTACGTGGCAATAGTCAGCTAGGACCAGGAAAGTTGAATCTGTGGCCCTCCAGGTGCTGTCGGACTACAAATCCCATCATCGCTGACAACACAATCGCTGATGGGAGTTGGAGTCCAACAACACTGGGAGGGCTGCAGGTTCCTCACCCGCAGACTTAGACCATGTGAGGTGCAAAATGGTTTTCAGGCTGCAGAAGCTACTGGCATTCCTCTTTGAATGTATAGTTTCTTTGTATAATAGATTACAAGCCCCATGAGGACAGGACGGTTAAGGATTTATATTCAGGGAAAGCTACTGTAAAAGCTATTCTGAGCCCACGGAACAGAGTGGGATATATATATATAATCAAGAGTCTCCAGTCAGAATAAAACAACAAATATGGGTTTTGAGGTACCCAAATGTGTCAAAATTCCTTGCTCTGAATTCAACCCAATTTTTTCAAGTTCTATTGTGATCTCCAGTGTTCAGCTTAAGCACCAAGAGGCAAACCAGAAATTCCAGGATAGGATCTCACATCTTTGGGTTTTTTTGTTTTGTTAATGCAATGGGAAAGTCTAATTATTATTTTTAAAAGGAGGCAATGGCAGTTGATCCATCTCTGAATCTTGTCCATGGCCGATTTGTGAAATGAGATTGTCTGAACAATCTGGTTTTAGTGTCTCGGTTTCAAATTCAAAGTTAGCTGGGATTTGAATACAGAGCATGCTCTCGTGATACTGATACCACAGAGATTTGGCAAAGCATTCTGTTAGTCTAGAAGGCTTGATAATTGCTGGTTTAGCCTAGTCCTGTGGCACAATTGATTTAGAAAAGGACTTGATAAATGGAATTCTACCATGTGCTCCGACAGTTATTGCCACATTGAGTCAGGTCAACATCTGAAGATGTGGATCGAGCTGAGTTTCTGACTGGTACATAACCCAAGGGAAGAAGTTCACCAGCTGTGCCTGACCATTTGACAAAACACGGAGAGGCATCATTTCAGAAAAGACAGCTGCTGTGAAAAGACAAGGCCTGGGGAAAATAAAATAAAATGCACAGGCCGGCCCACGCACGCGTACACTCCTTAGCAGCAGTAATTTGGGTGTTAAGACACAGAAGAGCTTAAGGCTGTATTCAAACTAGCAGGTATTAATGGAATGAAAAAGAAGCCACATATCTTTATTAACAACCAGGATAAGCTGCTTGATCTCAAAAAGAAACCCCTAATTCCTTCTTGTTTCACATGTATTTTTCCAGACCAACGGAAGCAGAGAGAAATAAGCCAGGCACAGTTGACAAGTCTGTTCATTAGACATTCAGGAAGCCAAGAATTCACCTTGATCATTTACATGAACATCAAAGGGAAACTATATGTGATCCAGCCATTCCCATATTAAAAGGAAGTCTTTTTCTGGCTGGTGAAAATCTAACTTGGATATTGGCATTGCTTCATAAAGAAACTAGAATAAAATAATTTGGCTAGCCATACAGAAGTTTAGACCTCTATAGTGTTGTGGCTAAGATGAGGTATGGAGCCAGAAGACACAATCTGTTTAAATCTCGCATTGGCTTTGAACTTGTGTTGTCTTATTGTATTTGTATTTTATTGCTCTTGGCCACCTTGAGCATTGGTGGAAAGCTGTGATACCAAATTTAACAAAGTAAATAAATTGCCTTAGGCAACCAGTCCCTTTCAAGAACATGGGGGAAATCTGGGCCTCACTGTTATAATATATACAAAATAGGTTGAAAAATTTTGTAGTCAAAGAAAAAGAGAGCTGCGCTACACTCCATATTGACTATAGATATTGTGAACTGAGGCTGTTGAGATACATGAATGGAAGCTAACACACTGCCCAGGACCACCTCAAACTTGAAGGCTGTCCTAAAATTAAGACGACATTCTAGAAATGATTTGCCCAATATGCAATGCCTGAGATGGGCAGCAATGAGATAAATTCAGAAATGGCAGCTACTTAGTAATGCCTAGCTCTTGTCCAAAAAGGTCACTCACCAATTCCAGCTTTGACTTCACTCACTGGGTGAAACCCTGTAAGCAAGAACTAAAGGTAAAGGTACTAAAGGGACTAAAGGTAAAGGTAAAGGGACCCCTGACCATTAGGTCCAGTCGTGACCGACAAGGGGATTACGGCGCTCATCTCGCTTTACTGGCCGAGGGAGCCGGCGTACAAGCTTCCGGGTCATGTGACCAGCATGACTAAGCCGCTTCTGACGAACCAGAGCTGCACATGGAAATGCCATTTACCTTCCCGCCAGAGCAGTACCTATTTATCTACTTGCACTTTGACGTGCTTTCAAACTGCTAGGTTGGCAGGAGCAGGGATCGAACAACGGGAGCTCACTCCGTCACGGGGATTCGAACCACCAACCTTCTGATCGGCAAGTCCTAGGCTCTGTGGTTTAACCCACAGTGCCACCCGCGTCCCTCAAGCAGGGACTACCAGCCAGCATTTTACAGAAATTGTGGGGGTGGAGAGCTCACATTTTGTCTTATGTCTTTTGAACTACAGCACATAGTAACTTTTTTTTTTAAAAAAGAAATAATTCAGGTACCCCAAAATCCAACTCCATCTATTTATGTTGATGGTACTCTTGCACTATAGCACAGCTAAAGCAGAACAACCCCCACCCCACCCACATTTCTGGTATTAATGATTGGAAATGAAGCTGTATTACCCTGAAAGTTTATCAGGTGCAAATAGCATTAAAAATGGGATCACACATAACCAACAAGATACCAAGCATAAAATCATCATGAATGTACAATAAAAAGATGTCTCATATCTCCTGCCCAAAAAACTCCCACAAGATTTTGAGCTTCAGTAGCCAACTTTCCTTACCCTGGGCTTCCTGCACATTATTATAGGTAATTGTACAATATCATTTTCATGGATACGTTAGAAGATATCAAACCAAACCATCTCTCATTCTTACTAAATCATATGTCAGGAAGTAATCACAGGAAACATTCATTGAATGAGAGGAATGACAACTTGATTGCTGCTTGTGCCCCTTTGTTACCACAGAATAAAATCATAAGGTGTACAATTTAGGATGATAGAAATGTAAGAAAGCACTTTAACAAAGATTGTAGAAATTACACCGGTAACTTGGCATTTGCTAAAAAGTTAAAATTTGTCTTAAAGCAACTTTTGAGCTTTCACCATTTGTGAGATACTTTATGCTTTTTAAAAACCATGACTACAAAACCTGTGACTCCATAACCCAGTAATCTAGTTTCTTAGTATTCAACCTATAACAAGGGGAGTTGAAATGGATAATGTAATCACTTTCATGCTTCACAAAACAAAGCCTTAAATGAGTAAGAAAAGCTTTGGTCTAATTTGTGTAAACAAACAAAAAGAATCTGGTGTAATTAAACTCTCAATACCCAGATGTCAGAATGCCAATCAGAAGGAAAGATGCAATAAAACCAGTCTATTCTGAGCTGAGTGAGCTACAGCTGCATACCCACATTTCATTACAGATGGACACCTTACCACAAGCAGGAGCTCTCCTGTCCTTTGCCCTGGACCATTTAGTAGCTTGTTCCTTCTCAGGCTCTCTGTGTGGTCCAGCTCCTCCTGGGAGAAGTCTGCAAGCCTGTCCTATATGAAGTAATAAGGGCTTCTGCTTGAGGTAAAGTGCCTGGCTGTGCTGTAACATACAGACATGACCTCAGCTCATCAGTATGGACGGGGACACACGTCCTGCTCAGCACCTACAGAGAACCACTCTGCAACAAAATTTATAGGCATGAACACATACTGGGGGAGCAAGACTGCTGGCATATTGCTTTTCTGGGTTCCTATCTCTTACTGCTTGGTTCATCAGCTTAAACAATATTTTCTGGGCAGATGGTCTAGTAACTAGAATGGAAAATTAACTGCTAAAGAGATAACGCAACTTTCTATGATTTCCCCCCCTAAAATGGCACAACATGCCAAAGTGAGCAATTTTAATTCAACCTTCTAAAGAAATGTCCATATATGAACTCAACAATGAAAAGTGGTATTATAAAGAAAGGTGATGCTACCAGATGTTTAAGTCAAGAGAAACTGGTTTAATACAAACTCTAAAGGAAGAAAACACACACACAAGATAATTCTTTTTGTGTTTTAATCAGCTACCCCCAAATACTTAATTCATAAGCAGCTAGACAGAACCACCCTGTCTGGTCTAACAACTCCATTTCTAAAAGACAGAATACACTCATTTGCCCGTGGCAAAGCTTGTGAATGGATTATGAAAATTAGTTTCCATAGTTACATACACAAAGAGAAGGAACATGAAGATGGCAAAAGCAGCAATCTTTACACGCATTGGTATACGTCCTTCTCTTGATCTCCCAGGTACTACATGGCATTTGGTTTCAGGATCTTTTTTCACAGAGGGAGGATTCTCCTTTATTGCGTTTCTTCTTCTTCTAGCACTAGAAACACAAGAAGCAATATTGCTGGTCATACTTTTAAAAAGAGAAACATTGCCTAACACTTTTCAAATTAAGACATGTAGTCTCACACTAGATCAGCATCCTAGCCTAGAAAAACAGGAAACTAGAAGATTACTAAACTGCAGCACTATAATTCAGAATAACATTTTTGTATAGAACAGGTGCAGGAGTGGTACTGGGTGGGAACTTTGTATTCTGAATGGCAGGGGCTGGACAGCTTAATGCTGTTGAAAATTCTCTGTCCTAACTTTTCTGGAAACCATTCAAGCTTTCTAGCAGCACATTTGTTAGGCCAATTGATGAACTACTAGTAAAGTCCCATCCCAACAAATATATATCTTCCAAAGGCTTAGTCCATTGTTGCTTGTTTTCCCCTTCCCAGCAATCAATTGTTCCCTACCTCAGACTAACCTATTTAAGTATTGCACTCTTCCAATTCTACACAAACATTTCACCTTGTCAGATGAAATGATTCCCAACTCTCCTGTGAGTTCTCCCAATCCCTCCAAAAGCCTCTTTTTTTGGAGGGGAGGGGGAGGGAAGCCCCATAATGCAAGCAACAGTCCTTATGCAAGGTTTTGACTGACAGGGCTGGTTAGATGAATTCTGCCCTCTATCATTAAAATTAAGTGCTCTGAAAAGCAGAAAGTATTACCACCTGCTTGCACCACAAATAAGCTAATTGTGAAGAAAAGCTGGAATAATTGTCTAGTTTAGGTGTTAGAACCAAGGTTTGTTCTTGGTTTACCACTTGTGGCTTGTCTGGGAGAGAGAAACCACAAGCTAGGGTTTGGGTATAATGCTAAGCCAAATCATGGCTTAACAGCAGCAGCAAGACCAGGGGGAAAGTGCTGCAGTCCCCATCTTCACTCTGGGAATCCATGTTTGCTCATTTATGCTAAGCCATGGATCAGTGTTAAGCTACTGACCTCCCTTGAAACTAATATAACACACAATTGTTTTATATCTGCAGAGTAAGATTATTGACCTATGCAACCCAGTAAGCTCTAAATCAGGTGAGGAACTTCCAGCCCATGGGCCTCATCAGGTATTCCAGGAATCCTCATTTGGTTCACGAGGCTGTTTTGGCCAAGCCACATCCATCAACTCTACACTTCGCATCATATATGATAGCAGGCATGAGGAAGGTAAAGGCAGGGCTTGATGAAAGGGGCTTTGCATCCACAATCAACCAAGGCCCCCAGTGCAATGCTTCCCAAGTGATGATAATCAGCTGGTTATTGGTACTTGAAGAGTGCAGTGTAGGAGGGCTTTGCAGGTCCTGTGCTAAGTGCTTCCCAAAACCCTATAATCTCAACTGCCAAGCACAGGCCTTGAACAGATGCTTCTCAAGTGCCAACAATCAGCTGATTGTTGATACCTGGGAAGGGACATATACCTTTTTCTCCTGGAAAAAAACAGGTCATCTGACATCATAATAACATCAAATAATTAATAGGTGGCGGGTTCTGTCCACCAGTCTAACTTGGCCCACAGGGGTTTGTGAAGGTAAAGACCTGGTCCAATGGCTTGACCCAGTTCTCTACCTCTGCTGTGCTGTAAATATTCACAAACTCAGTATGTACAATGAGTTTCTTTTCCACAACATATGGAAAGCCATAACAGAACTTCTTCAGTTTACTTCCAAGACTAGGAATTCTAAGGAACTGTTGATATCTCCGTGTGTGTGTGTGTGTGTGTGTGTGAGAGAGAGAGAGAGAGAGAGAGAGAGAGAGAGAGAGAGATCCTTTGTCAGGCAGTTTTTGAAGAGCTTTACCTTTCTCCTACAGTAACATTAACATCAGGATAGCCAAAGTCTTGGTGTGGTAGATCACTTGTCTGCAAAAAGGAAAAAGGTTTGTTTCATAGGCATCCTAGCAGTTACCTCCTTTTGTGGTTATGGTGAAAGCTTGTAGTTGAATGGTACTGTCATGTAGGGATAATATTCTATTTTAGATCATATTATGTGAAAGTTCCCCACTATAAGGTTTGTGCTTTTATGAATCTGATTCTCTAAACATAGCCAAATATATCACCTCTCTCTCTTGTTCCCAATGGTTCCTGGCATAAGCCCTTTAAAAACAACAATTGTGTTCCTTTCTTATTAATTATAATCTTCTTAGAGACAAACTCAAATGTGTTAGTTCATCATGGATTGTCTGGATACAACTTTCCCTGAGTTCTATATGGGGAAGGTGAAACATTTGGCTTTCTTGGTTTGATGTGTTGAACCAGAGGCAATTTCCAGAGTGTCCAGGTTTCCAAATTCATTGTCCCACATATGTGCATCACTTTTGATTAATGAAACTGCTTGATTCTAAGCAAGTATGAAATGGTAAGCATATAGGCCAGCATGGGTGTAGCCAGGATTTTCATTGGGGGGAAAGGGCAGGACTTGGGCAGGCAGAACTGACGTGATTTGTCAGTTAGTTATTTCTATTGTTTTACTTGATTGGGGGGGCACCTGCCCTCCCCTGCCTACACCCATGTAGGCCAGTTACATATTCTCTTTACCGGACCTAAAATGCTCAGACATATCTGACATGAAGATCAGACACAGGAATTGCTTTTCTGAGGTTATAAATTCAACTATGGCCTATTCTTGGTTTTAAGTCCTTCACAACCTAAATTATTCCTACCTTGAAAGCTGTCAGAGGGCATGTTACTTGCTAAGGGAAATCTGGAGGAGCAACTGACATGATCTGCTTAGTTGTTCTCTGGGGACGTAGACTGACATTACTGTAAAACTAGCAGAGCTTGTGTGCTTCCTGCTGCACCTCTACAAAACTTTTCAACCTGCCCAGCCTTAACTAGAAGTAAAATACATTTTAAAAAATGTTTTTAACAACAGGCAACATCTTAAGAAAAAGAATCCTTTTCATACTTTTTTAGAAGCAAGGCCATCTGACACATTGTGATCAAAACACTTATGTGCCAATAAAGCGAAAAGGAAGTAAAGAAGTCAGATGAAAACCTGTGAAACATTTATGGCAACTCAGGAGTTCAAATAAAAATGCTGGTTGCCTGTTGTTTACTCTGTCTTACACATAAACTGAATGTCCTAACAGTTTATAATAGCTTCTCAGAAATGTCACCCTTGAAGGTTAAATACATCTTCAAAAAAAGGTTCTGACTTTAAAAACGCAAGTCAAATTCTAGTTCATCCACAAATAAGCAATGCAATCATGGTTAGCTAGCATCTACAGCAAGAACAGATATCTAACATTTGACAACTTTGGTCTAGCAAATATGTATCAAGTTTCAGTATCTAGGCAAAGAACAAGAGAATGAATATATATATATATTCATATGTGTTGAACCAGAGGCAATTTCCAGAGTGTCCAGGTTTCCAAATTCATTGTCCCACATATGTGCATCAGACTTTGTCCCACATATGTGCATCAGTCCCACATATGTGCATATTCAGACTTATAGAGTGGTGTGCTGTTCACAAGTGATATTTTATGTCTTTGCTTCCAGAACTCTGTTTTCAAGAATGGCACATTTAGTGCCAGGTTTAACATTTGAGTGTGTTGTACCATCGCTGCAAAAATACCTTTTGTCTGTAATTCCTTTCAGGACTGCCAACTTTCTTCCTTGGTCCTTGTGACCGATGCAGTGCCACTTTACCCTCTGGCAATATTTCCTGCAGCTGTTAGTACACAATATGACATTAATTAAAGATGTGTGGGCAAGAAGAAAAGGATGAAAGCTGGAAGCATTCATAGCAAAGATGATCTATCGTCTTTGGCAAAAGTTCAGGCATGTTACATGAACAGTATCATTCATTTGTAAATTGCAAGTCTGCTAAAAAAAATGTCTGCTTGCTACAATTCCTTTAGCAGCAGTCACTCCACACTTTCACTCTGAGAGTTTTAAAAATGGAGAAACTGTTGATGTAAAAGAGACATTGCAACTCCAGCTTTATCATTAATTGCAGCCAGCTTAAACATATGACAAGTCTGGCCAAAATTTGAAGAAAAAAAAATTTCTTTAGGAAAATAAGAGAATCAGTTTCCCACCCCCACAGAGGATAACAAAAACTAATTTGGAAATAAATTAGTTAAGTCAAAGTAGCAATCCTTCAGAATTAGCATCCATGGAAAGTAAGTACTACAACAAAGAGTATCGCAGGATTATTATTTAAATCAATGTTCTTCTATCTTAAGTCTCCAGATGTTGTTGGACTACAATTCCCATAATCCTCAGTCAATGGTCAGGGATGATCTGAGCTGTAGTCCAACATCATCTAGGGACCCAAGGTTGAAGAACTAAGTTAAATGACCCAGACAATGAAAGTTGCATCAGCCTGACTAAATCAAAGGGCTGCAACAGTAGCTACTTACTTCTGCCACTATTTTAGCTAAACTGTGTTCAACATCAGATGACAAGAGTTTTTTCTGACGTTCTACCACATCTGCAGCTGATTTCTGAAGTAAAAAAGAAACCATAAAAACTATGTCTGAAGTAAAAAAGAAACCATAAAAACTATGACTGGAACTGAACATAGAGAAGGTCATATGATATTATGTGTGGGTGAGGATAGGCATACTGCTTTATAAACATGAAACTATTCAACCAGTTGGCTGCTCTACAGAGTTCTGAGATCAGAATGCTTAGTAAGTTTTTTGAATAAGAGGCAGGAATCAGTTTTGTGTTCTTCACCTAAACAGTGGTGGTAGTTATTTTGTTCTCTGTTGCCTGGACATTTTCTACCATGACATTTCTTAAATGAAGTCTGCTGCACAATAAGTGACCAGGGCAGGAGGAAAAGCAAATAAAAAGTAAAATCCTGATAAAAATTAACAGGCCAGAGACTGTAACTGAAAGAAAACTGAAAACAAATGAGCCCATAACGATGAAAAATGGCTAACAAAATTCACTAAGAAATAAACATTTCCACAATGCTGCTTCAGTGGAGGAAAGAAAAACAAGGAGGACAGTGTGTGTTTTGCCCTATGAAATAAGTGTAGTGGGAGGACTTTCCCCCTTGAGAGGAGGTATCAGCTTATAGACTTTTACTTTAGAGAGTACTCAACAGTGTTTTGGACAGGTGAAAAACCAAAAGGTGTGCTTGCACAGAGAAGGATTAAATAAAATTAATGCATAATTTTAAAGAGATGTTTTCCTACCCATAAATTACTAGCATGGGATATCTGGGTAACTCCTGAGTTAGCGAGCAGCATTTTTTGCTTTTTTTAATAGTTAGCATCATAAACATCACAGAATATTGGGGTTGCCCCCTTTGGCCAATAAACTCAGCCAAAAGAGACTTAAAGGTTTGTGTTTCAAGGGCTGCTCCTGCAGACAACCCAGCAGCTGACCTCAGGAGAAATCAAGTGAGGGAGTGAACTATGGCTGGGCATTGTAACAGGTTACTCTTGAGTTTGTAAACTCTTTGTGAAAGAATAACAGGTTAGATAAGCATGTCTGAGGTGTGACTTGTATCTAGCGATTCCCCCCCCCCACACACACACATTGTTGGACCTGACCAGTGCTTAAGTGCAAGGTTGGCATGCCTAGGGGGTTTGGTGGGTTGCCAGAAAATCAATTTCTGCCATGATTGCTTCTCCAAAATTTATCTTCATTAGGCTAACAACCAAAAGTAGCCAATTTGATTATTAGAAGATCTATCATGGAACAATTCACTGCATGGATATGAATGCTGTTCTGTCCCGTTTAAATATACCTGAAATTCATCTACATTCCCAGTTATAATTCCTCTGATGTGTATTTTCTGTCTGTAAATAAAGTTGAATATTCTTAACTATCTGTGAAATCTATTTTGCATCAGATTTCCTAGGGCTCTAGTGCATCAACAGAAGCCACAGAAGAACATTCTAATTATGTGATTGGAGTAATTGCTTCACTTGTCAGGAGTCTGACACAAAGTACATCAGTTTATATTAGCTCACAATTTAGCTATAGCCATAAAATATTCATGCCTTGGGTTACTTACATTTTCAGACCCAGAGGTATGTTCAGTTGTCACTTTGAGGCCATTTGTTTGGATGACTACTTCTGTGGTTTTTCCTAGGTGAGAATTATTATTTTTTTATTTTAGTAACTGTCACTGATTCATCTATGCCACATTATACAACACAATACTTTCAAAAATGGAGTTCCAAACTCAAGAGTTCTGAAGTAGCTGAATTTACTGTGCAGAATGCTAGGATATGGGATTTTACGAAAGTGATATGCTTTCCTGATGTATTCTCAGGTTGATTTCTAGAACATCCTTCCCCACACTCTACTATTCAAATAGGGAAAGCATTCCTTTGTTTCCCAAGCCATTGTACTTTCAGCAATCCTGTTTTCTCAATTTACAGAATCCAGGCGCCTTGTGCCAGCCATATGCTCATGAAAGTAGTCTTCTGCACATGCATCCCTAACAGGATGGGGAACTATGCATGCAAACAATGTGCATGGATGAAACCTGAAAAGCACATGCACAACTGAATCCCGAGAATGGTTCAAACACACACCAACCCTTCATGAGATTGCTCCATGAGATCCCCACAAAATGCTTACTTTAATTATGAATGTCACCATTTGAATTTACAACAAATCTATGTTAGCCATTAGGACTGTACTATATATTGGGGAGGGACGCGGGTGGCGCTGTGGGTTAAACCACAGAGCCTAGGACTTGCCAATCAGAAGGTCGGCGGTTCGAATCCCTGCGACGGGGTGAGCTCCCGTTGCTCGGTCCCTGCTCCTGCCAACCTAGCAGTTCAAAAGCACATCAAAGTGCAAGTAGATAAATAGGTACCACTCCGGCGGGATGGTAAACGGCGTTTCCGTGCGCTGCTCTGGTTCGCCAGAAGCGGATTAGTCATGCTGGCCACATGACCTGGAAGCTGTACGCCGGCTCCCTCGGCCAATAAAGCGAGATGAGTGCCACAACCCCAGAGTCGGCCACGACTGGACCTAATGGTCAGGGGTCCCTTTACCTTTACCTTTTTATATATTGGGGGTGGGGGCTCAAAGCATTTCATTTAGGGAATGATTACTATGTACTACCTTCTCCATCATTTTCAGAATTAACCTCACTGTTCAACTCAGCTGCTGTTCCTGGGCATTGCTTCATCAACTGCAGGAGCTTGTTCTCATAAATGGTCCTTGTAGAAGCTAAAAGAAACAGGTCAGAGCACAAATGTTTTTAGCAAAAGCTTGCTGCATTTCAAAGTGTTATTAAATTGTTTGCATTGAACAGGAAATTTTACACACTCAGAATGTTTGATAATCATAGTTAGAGCTGGATGGGGCTTTAACCAATGCAGGAAATCTAGAGCTGGGGGATTCCCAACAGAGGGCTATCCACTATCCACTAAATTGGTTCCATTATTAAACTGCTCTTACTGTTAAGAAGTTTCTCCTAATGTACAATTAAGACCTACCCTCCATTGACTTATGCTGGATCTGCCCATTGAAGCAGCAGAGAACAAATCTTTGCCCTCTCCTATGCAGTAGCTGTTGGCAGGGCAGAGGCATTGCTCACCTAGTTTCCCAACACAGAGGCTGCTGCCAATTACCAAGGGAGTGGTTGCAAGGACAAGGCACCAGGGGCACAGCGGTGGAGCCATGTGCCCACGCTGACCTGCAGCAACCAAACATTCATTCTGTCCAGAAAAAAAGAAGAACCTCAAATCAATTGCATACGCTCTCCCTGCCCAGAACTGGCTTGCCTCTAGCTGGGATTGACAACTATTTGCCTTAATCTGGAAATCACTCATCTGTTACTGCAAATTCAACTGCTCACTACAATATTAGACTCAACTGCCCTTTATATCACTGTTTTAGTGATCACTCTTCTGAAGCATACGTAATATTGGTCCAGGGGTGATTCCATATGCACAGAGAAGCTCCCATAGCTCAGTGTCACTCAGAGCTGTAACATCAATTTCATCTTTGGAGTCTTGTTCCACAGAGCCTTGTTCAGCAGAATCTTTTCCCTTGTTTTCTATGTGCACATCAACAGTAACCTTCTCCATATCTCCTAATGGTAGGGTCTATGAAAAAACACAACACTGGTTAAGAATACTCACTTTATTGCAGTATTTCCCCCCATTAATCACTTTTGAATGCGATAAGTAAACATGAATTAGCTTAAGTGCTGCATCTGGATTTGTGCCAGCTTTGGAATGATTTCTTAAGGTCTTAAAAGAATGATCAGATAAACAGTATTACAATGTTTATATGCATATTCATAAAACTGTAGAAACCAAATTAAGTATAAAGAGACATATCTCACTGACAACACCAACAAAAATGATTCTGCCAAAATTTCAGTTTAAATGCTCCAAAAATGAAAGTACCGTATATATAACTAGAAAGAGTGTCAGGAATCATGATGAACCAATAAAAGTGATTGCCAGAATGATTGGATATATTTTGGGCAAAACTAGACTTATCAGCAGAGGAGAGATTACTGCCCCATGTCTAATACTCCCCTCCACATCTTGTCACCAAGTAACATGCTATAATTGTAGCCTGCCCTATAGAAGCAAAGAAACGTTTCTTTCAACAGGACTGCAGTTATGCAAGATAAACTGTTTGTGCAAGGAGAAGGTGGGCAGAAATGGCACAGTGCAAAAAACTCATTGTCTTCCTGGCACTCTCTGCAAGAGAGAGCCAAAAGAGGCAGTGCACCTCCTATTGGAGAGGAAGGCACACTGCATGCCCTTGAAAACTCTTAAGTAAACTGGTGTTTAGAATTACATCATCCCCCCATAGCAGTATGATCCGATTAGTAACAACACAGCTAAATAGAAAAAAGAGATTCCAACCACTAACTGCAGTACAGCATTGCAAAGAACAAAACTGCTTTTCAGATTTACATATTTTCCTGCTCTCAAGCCAATATTATCAGATGCATCAATGTGCTGTTCCAGCTTGTTTTATGACCTTATTTCTATTGTAACCCAATTGAAAATACAGTAAATGATTAAAGGCACGAGTTTTTATTGTATAAGATCTATCAGTATATATTCTAAAATCAGCTCTCAGAATACATTTTGTCCTCAAAACTCTTATTATCCCCACATATAAATCATACCAAGGGCTCCTCCAGACAACCTGTTTATTGAGCATTCCTCCCGATTTACTTGTACAAAGTTTAAAGGGAGAGCAGACTATTTCTGGTCTTTATTGCTTTTTATATTTTTACCAATTGGCTTTCACCGATTTTTACTGTTGTTACTGCAGTATTCTGCTTTTATGTCATACACTACCTTGTTATATTTTTGTGAAATATTTTCTGTGAAACGGCAGTATGTATGTGTGTGTGTAAATATATATATATATATATATATATATATATTGGCCATTTTTATATTTGTTTGTGGAATGTTTACACATCTTCCTGTCAATCATTCATTCTTGCCACACTTTGAATACTTTCCTCTGCCACTTTCCTAACCATAAGAAGTCCAGGTTAAAAAAAAGAAAGTGGATTTGTTGCACTAGCACAATGGAACACTTTTAACTGCAGAAACCAGTATTTCCAGAATTATTTCTGCAAAACAGCAAGTCAGGAGGCACCCAGGAGGAATACCCTTGAGGTGAGCATCTTCACATCTTTTAGGTGTTTCCAATTAAATCACCCCAAGAACTGGCACGAGCGTTTGGCACCCTTCGGAAGCCAGCAGATCACATGCACACACACACCAGGTCCCCATGCCTTTTTTTGGATGGTGGCGGCTAGGAACACGTTTTATGGGATGAAAAATTGGGGGAATGACAGGACCAGCTCCAAGTCTGAGGAGGTCCTGAGCAATGTGGGTCAGGGTGTCCCACATGCAGCAGTGTCAGTACATCTGGTCCGTATAGCTGCATCGGGACACACTTTTAATTCCCCACAATTCCCCCAGAGTAATGCTAGATCACAGATGTTGTGAAAAATTTAAAGGGAGGCTTGATCCCAACCAGCTGATACATACAGCTAAGTAAGCCTCCTGCCAGCTCCACCAAAGCACTTTTGCCCTGGAGTTTCTCAAATCTGGAGCCAACCCTGTCAGTCCCCAATTTTCCATTTCAAAAAAAATCTGAATGCCATGTTCTTTAAAATGTATGTGAAAGTGAGGGGCTGGAAAGAGGATAAAATTTCAGATTCACCCTTCTCTTTTCCTGAGGGATATAGAAAATAGGACACCTGGGTTTTTAAAAATGAAAATGGCCACGTTTTCAATATTGTGAACAAACAGCAAGTAACAGAATGCAATGTAAAAAGGGGTAGGGCCGGTGGTTTTTTTCCTGGGGGTACACATTTCCTGGGGGTAAACATTTTGTGAATCTTTGTACTTTTACTGTATTTGTACTGTACTTTTACTTTGTACTATTTACTGTATTTATTTCCCCCGATTTGAACTATAAATCGATTTTCTTGAGTCAAAATGAGAGTACCCCTAAACATTTTTAAGGAAAAAAAGCAATCCGTAGGGCCTCCCCAAAAGCATCTCCTGAAGCTTGTTTTGCTCTATATTTACCTCCTTGAGGGGCTTTAATAACGCCCTATAAAAATTCACAGTGCTCTGTGAGGTAGTTTCCCCAAACGGCTATTACTTTTCAAGCTTGCCTCCTCCCTCCTTTGGAAAAGAAAAGGCAAATGAATCTGGATGGCCCCTCGGTCCTATTAACTCGTCCTGGACGGTAGCAAACTGGGCCTCGCCCTTTCGCTTTCCCGCCTCACTATTCAGTCTCCTCGCTCTCACGAAGCTGTCAAGCTCCATTCGCCACATTCCACGCGGAACGCGACGCCCTTCCCACCCCCCCCGCCTTTTACGCCCATTTTCACCCCCGTCTGAGTTCCTCACCCTTCACTGTAAACCCCGAGGGGGCGCCCCCCACCCACTGGTCTTAAACGGCCGGCCTAGGGAGAATGGCGTGTTTCTGAACATAAGGTATTTTTAAACCTTCGACTCCTCTTGCTTACAACTTAATCGAAAGGGTAAAATAAATCCCCTCCCGGGGACCCGTGACCCCGACGTGATTCGAACACGCAGCCTTCTGATCTGGAGTCAGACGCGCTACCGTTGCGCCACGAGGTCTTAGGAAGCTCTTCGAAAGCTCAGCTTGAAGAGTCTGCCGCCGCTCTTCGGCTTGCTTTTTTTCCCTCTTCCCCTCCCGCTTCCTCTTTGCGCATGCGCTCTTCTCTGTTTGGGTTTTTTTTTTTAAATACACACTCACCGAGGTGGGGGACCTTGCTTTTTCTGCATTCCTAGACTGGCTACCCTTTGCTAAAGGAAAAGAAATTACATAGCCTTACTTATTTCCACTTCAAAACCCTACGCTAAGCTCCCCGCAGAAACAGATGTCAAGGCAGCTAGTAGGAGGTGCAACAACTTCGCGCCCTGCCGGGCTGTTTCGAAACCGCCGTTTTGAAGGACAGCCCCTATGTGTTTACCCAGCCAACCACCAGGCAGACCACGCCTCTTTATGGGCGGAACCTACGCGGGAAACAAACACTGAGAAGGCAGTTAGGCCGGAAGCTACCACCTGCTTCTACCTTGTGGGGAACATACTTTTACTGGACAGGTCCACTAAAGGTCCTGCGGGCGGGGGGGGGGAGCAATAAGTGGTAAGGTTCGAAGCGGCTGTCTCTGGGCTGGGAACGCGATGCCTGCAGAGCGACTGTCGCTGTTGATACGAAAATACAACAAAGAGCCTTGTGTCACTTTTAAAAAGTGTAGCTATTTTGTGGACCGAGTTTTCTGACGCATGAGAAGTCCTCAGTTGGCAGACCAACACTTCTTACCTCTCCCATGAATGGTTAAAGTCTTTAATGCACAACAAGACTCTTTTGTTGTCGTCTCCATATTGACTTCACCTCTGTAATTTAATGAAGATGTAAACCGCGTACACTTTCACACACAACAGGTCGATAACATTGATGCCACGGAAGACTTGAGTCCACGTAACCCACGCCAATAAATCTTATAGCTGCCACCTGCCAACTAAAGTCCAGCCGAAACCATGCATGTGCATGTCTGTAGGAGAGCCAGCATTTCACCAAATTACTGCTTTCCTAGAAATGTAATAGTGGTATAAATAGAAATATAAATAGCGGTATAGACTGTTTGCAGTCTAAGCACATTTAACTAGAACTCAAAAGGAAATAATTAGTTCAATGGGACTTACTCCCAAGTAAAAGCTACAGTGCTGTAATTCCTTGAAGACTGACCCCAAATTTAGTATGGTACAAGCTTCTTTGTGTACTGAGTCGGCTTCATCACTACCACCAACTAAGTGTGCACAGGATTGTCACCACAGAAATCCTGTGCATATGTGAAACTGCATTCTAGGCAGCAATACAGTAGCACACACCAACCCATCCAAATCAATGTGTTTTTTAGCTCACCTAATAGGATCAGGTTGCTACTTGATAAAATAATTGATCAGATTGACTAAATCTGTATCAGTTTGCATGAGGTAATGGTTCTGAAAGGGGGGAAATAGTGTTTTAGTTTGTTTTAAAGCCATTTGCATATTTCTCATCAGGCACTATTTTAAGATGGCTGTTGGCATCCCTCTGCCTCAAGACACAATGGAGTGTGCCTCCAGGGGTGAAGTCAAATTGCTGTAGTAGTAGCACCAAAGTGACCTCTCCAGGCCATAAGCCTGCACAGTGTGTATGGAGGTCCTGGGCTGCCCAGATGACAAGAACTTCCTCTCAGCTTCACTGATGTGGTCCAAATGAAAGCAGAGCAATATGTTTGGCACCAGCTTGGCTGCTGGAGTTGCCGGAAGAAGACCTACAAGGCACCATCAAACTGTCTTAGGGACTCCACTTCGGATTTTTGTAGGGTTTACTCCTTTGCCTCCCCCCCCCCAAGGTATCCTGCAAGGCAGCAGAGATCTAGGATCAGAGTTTTCCTTCTCCTAGATGGACTCCCTTTCCAGGTTGATGAGCCCCATCTGCCCCTCCCTTCTACAGCACCTGCAGAAACCACCTTCTTGACCATTGGACTTACTATTGGTCTCATCCATCAGTCTGCCAGAACCTGTCTTCACATGCCTGGGAAATCCCTAACTCACTGATGGTTTGAGACCCATCAGCTACTCTCACCTGGTTTAGCTGGCAAGTTGAAGCTGTTCCTGGGGTGTGGCTGCTGTCAAATGCTGGCAGCTTCCAGGAGCCACAGGTGAGAGCTGAATGCAGGATGGGGACCAAAGATGGAGAAACTACCCCAGAAGGAGCACAACATGTCCCCCAATAGTAGAGGTCCTACTCCTGTCCTAACACCCCATACACCCCATTTGAAGACGGTGGATCTTTAGTAAAGAGAATACATCTAAGATGGTGCTGTATGAAATTTATACTTAATTTTTTTGCACTGAAAATCTCCAAAATCATTAACTTTTCTCCAGATGTTGTCTGAGTAAACAGGGATGCTTCTGCAATTAGTTTTAAAAGGTTAATTTAACAGCTTCATCAATAAGGTTGCAGCCCAAGGGTAAGTGACGATTCTCCCTTCTATCCTTTCTTCTTCATCAGGGATCTCTGTAAATGATGTTTACGACACCATTCATTGCTTTCACTTATATCCAAAAAACCTGGCCTATCTTCAGCCCACTGTGGATCTTAGACTCCTGCTGTGGCGAAGTGCCCTCGTGGAAGGAATTAAGTTTCCAAAGTGCTGCTTTGCTAGCTGCTGTGTTCTGTGAAGAAGAAAAAAGCTGAGGGAAAGCCCTGCAGATGGCACTGTCTGATCTTTTTCCTTACTGCCTTATTCTCAGCTCATATAGCTCCAGGCAGTACAGAATGCAAAAATCATGTAGTTCACATAGCTGCATCAAAACTGTCAAAATAGTTATTTTTAAACTGAGGGCAGCCTGCTGCTGCTGGCTGCCATAAAATTAAATGTGCAGACCTCTGACCAAAGAGGCATTGGTGTTTTGGGGAAAAGATATATGAAAACTAACCTATATGTGAAGTGGGCCTGGGTTAAATAATAAAGGCAAAGGGACCCCTGACCAATTAAGTTGCGGATGACTCAGGTTGCGGCGCTCATCTTGTTTTACTGGCTGAGGGAGCCGGTGTTTGTCCGCAGACAGCTTCCGGGTCGTGTGGCCAGCATGATTAAGCCGTTTCTGGCGAACCAGAACTGTGCACGGAAACACCGTTTACCTTCCTGCCAGAGTGGTACCTATTTATCTACTTGCACTTTGAGGTGCTTTCGAAGTGCTAGATTGGCAGGAGCTGGGACCGAGCAACGGGAGCTCATCCTGTTGCAGGATTTGAACCGCCGACCTTATGATCGGCAAGCCTAAGCCTCAGTGGTTTAGACCACAGCGCCACCCGCATCCCTGAATACCTATAATAAAGGTAAAGGTAAAGTAAAGGTACCCCTGCCCGTATGGGCCAGTCTTGACAGACTCTAGGGTTGTGCGCTCATCTCACTCTAGAGGCCGGGAGCCAGCGCTGTCCGCAGACACTTCCGGGTCATGTGGCCAGTGTGACAAGCTACATCTGGCGAGCCAGCGCAGCACACGGAACGCCGTTTACCTTCCCGCTGGTAAGCGATCCCTATTTATCTACTTGCACCCGGGGGTGCTTTCGAACTGCTAGGTTGGCAGGCGCTGGGACCGAACGACGGGAGCGCACCCCGCCGCGGGGATTCGAACCGCCGACCATGCGATCGGCAAGTCCTAGGCGCAGAGGTTTTACCCACAGCGCCACCCGCGTCCCAATAAAGGTACAAACCAACAAATGCTTACATGGAAGTGCCATTGAAATAATAGCTTCCACTGACTCCATTTCAGGTTAATTTTTTTCTTATCTAAGCTGCTATTTATGAAGCTTTGGCATCAATCACTCCTTTCTAACTGTTTTGTGAAGTAAAAGGCAGGTTCCAGGGCGATGTTTTTTTGTGCACTCAGGGCAAAGGCCAAGCAGAGGGGGACGCAGGAAGGCCATTTTGCCAAGGCATTAAATTTAGACACTTGTTGATTTAGGGTGGGGACCTCACACAGTTGTTTGTTTTTTGGCATTAGATAAGTTTCACAACTTGCATCAGCCCCCCCCCCCAAAAAAGTGGCGCACTCTGTCTGATTAGGGCTGCAAATTTAAGCAAATTAAATGAAATTTTGTTGTTGTTAACTGATAGATTTTTTCCTGTTAAAGAGTTTAAAATGCTCACAAATATTCATAAAAATACATTGGTTCTGATGGCTCAAAATTGGACCTTGATGAACATGTCTTCTCAGATCTGCTGTTTATATAAGCAAAACCAGTTTTTGGTGTCTAATTGTTTTCATATGTCATCTTTTTTATTGTTCTTATCATTAGCATCCCCAACAGCTGGAAGCGGCCTGGACCTTTCGGTGCCTCTGAAAGAGTCTGCTCAGGGCCATAATCTCAGTTGCCCCATGTGGGCCTCATCTTCTTAAGGCTATTATGTGCCCATTCTCTGAATTCTTTGCTTTTTAAATACTTCTTTAGCACTTTTACTAGCACTTGTTTTTTGTTAAAATGTACTTTCAGATCAGCAGCTGCTGTTCCTATGGAAGCTGATTTCTGGAAGAGCCCCTATTGAAGTTTTACCTTAGGATATCCCTAAATGCCTTGCATCTTATAATAAATGGGGGTTTTAACATGTTTGTTGAAGTTTCCAGTATAATTTATTCAACTTTTAATGATGCACATACAATAGTCAGGGGTAGGCAAAAAGTTGATCCAGATCTACCAGGTCATTAACAAAGATTTCTGACTCCCATAGCTTCAGCTTTCCTCCTGAAATTAGGCTACTG